GTAGTTGGAGTGGGCATTGAATCATCGACTTCATATTTCAAGGCCTCTAGTTCAAATGGTGACCTGATGTCTGAAGTAAAGAGGTCGTACTCAGAAAAAAACATGGATCGTTCCTTTTGGTAAATGAGACATACTTCCTGATCAGTACAACCTCAAAGTAAGATGAGTATTAAGAAACTCACTTGAAAATAGCTCATTTTGAGGCGTGGATCCAGGAGGGTAGCACAGACTGGCGCAGGTTTAGTAAGGACTTTCTTGAAGTAGTCTTCAAGTTTTGAGATCATGTTTTTAGACGCGGGTTGAAGTTGATCGTGATCGTATTGATGGCGTACCTAGATGTACATTAAGTCACATTAGCCAATTATAATTAATGTGTATTTAAAATCAAAAAGATACAAATACTTACTAATCTTAATTTTTGCAAGATTGCAACATACAAAGGAACAACTTGATGCATTGTTGGATACTTTGACTTACAGAGTATGTCAGTTGCTTCGCTCAGAGGTTCCAAGAAGTTGCACATTTGTTTGACGTAATCCCACTCGAGCCCGGAGAGCGCATACTTTTTGTACTCGTTTTGCAGGCAGAATTCATCACATGCTTCTCGTAGACGCAAAAGTCTTCGAAACATGTGATATGAAGAGTTCCATCTGGTGGGAACATCGACAATCAGGCGAGTTGCAGTTTCAGCCGGGTTTGTTTTTGGGGGTGGTTGAACATTGTCGACAGTAGGATCATCTAATAGATAATCGAGAGCCTCAGTGTCAGCAGGATCAGAATTATCAGTATCAGGGTCGGCTTGGGCTGATGGAGGATTCGCAGCTGGATTTCTTTGAGGCTGAGGATTGTTTCTTGAAATCTGATTCTTCTTCGCAGCAGCAGCAATAGCACGCTTGAGCTTGACAATATCAGCGAAATGTTGACCACGTTGAGGGCTGGACCGAGTACAAGTAACTAGACCATGGCATCGATTGTAGATGGTCTTGAGGTTTACTTGAGTCACGTCGGGTGGGTCGACAAGGTTGTTAATATCCATTAAGTTTGATGAATCTTGCTCTTCGTCCTCGTCGAGAATTTCACCAAAAACCTTCAGTCCCTCTTTTGCAGCTAGGTTGATAACGTGCGCCACGCAATCATGGACTTGCTTCGTGTGATCGAAAGTGATACCATCTGAATTTGAAAGGACTCGACCTATAGCAGCGTTTGTACCTACATTATCGGCAGTCATCGCACACAACTTATCGGTAAGTTCATACTTGGTAAGATATTCGATGATTAAACCGGCAAAGTTATCGGCGTTGTGTGCACCTGGAAGATTGGGTGTCAGTCAGCTTGAGTTGATCAGATCGATAGAAAACAAGATACACTCACCTTTGATTTCCGCAATGCCAAGAGTCAGGTCCATAAGTTCCCAGTTCTCCGTTATAAAGTGACCAGTGAGCGACATAAACGGCTTATTATTTGGAGACGTCCATGCGTCTTGAGTAATGGCGATTGCTTTGCAAGGTCCTAAGAAAAGTTTCTTGATATGATCTTCATGATGATAATAAAGTCTGCGCATATGTTTAGAAATTGCATGTCGTCCGACAAGCATTCCTTTTACTTCAGGATTGACAAGCTTCAATAATCTTCGGAAGGATTCTTTCTCAACGATTGAGAAGGCGAGGTCGTTATCGGCGATGAGATAACATATACTAGTCTTGAGGTTGGAAACATCAAGTATATCCTAACAGTTTTTCGAATCAAAAGAACATGAACATCAGCTATTGTCGATGTGTTCTGGAGTAAGAAGACAAAAAGACTCGCCATGTGAACTGATTTCATCTTCTTGAAACCTGCAGTCAAGCTTCCTTGTCTTCCATCGATTGGACCGTCATCGCGGAGATTATGCTTGAAAGTGAGGTGGTTCTTCATCGAAGTAGTACTTCCTTTATGATCGCGTTTCAACTTCGTGCCACATTCTTTTCCATCCCTCATGACGTAACGACACTGATTGATATCTGAGTTTTCTAATCTTTTAAAATATTTCCATACGTAACTTTTTCGAGTTGACTGAGATTCCGTCGTATCGGAGCTATCGGCATGGGACAAATCAATTGTGGTTGAAGTGGGGGCTTCGGACATGTTGATCAATTGATTTAAGGTTGATTAATTGAAGTGAGAAGGTCGTTTGCGCGGTGATAAGTGGATTTCTCAGACAATTGTAAGGTTTGAGGTGGTGGGGAAGATGATCGAAAACGCCCTTTTCTCTTTTTTTTTATTTTTTTTTTTTTTTGGCTGTACCGGCCGGATATCCGCCGGATAGCCGGCGAGTAGCCGGTTCGAGTGTCGGATGGGGGTCCAGCATGCCGGATAGTCAAAAATAACCGTCGGTCCGGATGTCGGATGGAGCCGACCACGCCGGATATTGACCGGAGCACATCTTGAAGCTGTATGGTACAGTCTATTTGCTACTTCAAGTAGTTGAATAAGGTGCCCCCATTTTGTCCCTGTTTTCGGACTCGAGGCTTCAATTGAATCATACGGTTCAATTCCGCATTAAGGGTACTCAAAGCAAAGTATGTAGCGCTACATACTTTTCGCTACATACTTTTTTTGGCGGGGACAAAGAAAAAAAATATACTTTTGGCCTCGCCTTCCCCGCCAAAAAAAGTATATAGCAAAAAGTATGTACACGTACATACTTACTTTGAGTCGTACTGAGAGCGGCTTGACAGGACCATAATTGAGAGCTTTGACACTCGTCGTAACGGTGTCCGGTAAAGTGGATCAGGAACGGAACGGCGAATATGTATCCTCGTGCACTTCATATGCTGCACAGAGTACTGACGACTGAGTCTTTCATCAACCAGCATTTTTTTCAGCTATCCACCTTGCGTCTTTCAACCACACATTATTGTCATCTTTTTATCGCTCAGTTTACCTGACGATCGATATCCCGATTCGTGTGACGGGTTACCAAGGCGAGGAAAGCTCTGGTTGATTTTGAGCCGAACGGTGGTAAACGAGGGATCAAAGGAATCCAGAAAAACTAACGATCTACAAAAAAGTATCAAGCAGTTTCCTTCTGAATTTTGCTTTTGAGAAAGTCGCTGATCTCATAATTTTTCTTTTCAGACTGCGGGAATATTTTTATTTCGATTTTAGACCCCGAAATAAGCATTCTTGGGGGGTTTTGACATTGAAAAAACTTTCCTTGGGATCTCTCTGGCTTATAAAATGACAATGGATCAACACTTGGATGAAGCAAATTGGCCTTCACTATCAAAACCAAAACCAAAACCCATGGCACCCGTGATTAGATCAAGACCGACGTCTCACATGGTAAGAATTCCCTTTGAGGTGATGGAAACCATCATTGAGGCAATCCTCTTAGCCAACGTTAAAGGCGGACGACTTATTCTTGCTGGTCGACTTAATTATCGAGATGAAGGAAGTTTAGTAAATTGGTCAATACGAGACGAAATCTTACGAGGAAATCGGTTTAAACGTACTTATAAACTTGGAAGGAATATGAAGGAGGTGATGAAAAAAGTTGCTGGGATCAATACTCAATTTCAAGAAGGTGTCAAGAATTATTTTTCGCATCCTCTTACGATCACTACCTTGGATGATATTCCACATCCTAAACAAAACGATTTTTACCAGCAGGTAGAAGTATTACTGTTATATAGATGTCAGGACAAGGCTTGGGCAAGACTTGGTCGATTTCTCGATCAATCCAAATCTACACTACGTAATCTGGTCCTAGATATTGCTTCACCGCCGGATAATGACTCATCGGTGATTATTCCAGCAAGCTTATGGGTCTCAATTTTCAAAGCTAAGGAGATACGTTGCTTCGCTCTTAGAACTTATCATCATCATGAGCCAGCAATTGCCAATTCAAACCTACTCAAAAGAATTATGAGTGAGTGGAAGAATTTGGAAGAACTAGAGATTCACCACTTGCAAGGAACGGCAAATGATCGAATGGGAGGGATGATCTATTACGATGCGAAAACTACTTGCTCTCTCACTTCACTCTTTCTGAAACATCCTATTCACATTCATCAACGAGATCTAGAGTTCATTATGTCTAAGTCTTATAAAACTCTTCAAGAACTTACAATTTTCAGTCTTGAATCTCAAGCCCCTCAATTAGAAATCATCCTCAATGTTTTCAAGAAATGCAAATCACTTAACACTTTTAGAATAGCTATTTACCAACCTCGTCTTCGTATCGAAATCGATGGATCTGATGATGATGAATTTGCTGACATTATCAAACTTTCAACACCACCAAAGACAATATCAAGATCTCAAATTTGTATTTCAGAAATGGTCAAACATTTACCAAAACTGAAACATCTCGAATTAGCTGGAGACATTTGGAGTAATGAGATAATTAAAAACTTACCTTCTATTGTTCAACTTCATTCACTTTCCTTACGTAACGTACAGAATTGTGATTTTGGATTCTTGAATGCTTCGATTCAGAATGATAGTAAATTAGGGTTTTTGGATAAGTTTGATGTGTCTGATTGTTCAGATATTCATACCGCAATCCCAAATTATCGTGATCTCATCATGACTTGTCAACAGAAGAAAATCAAGTTTGGACGTCGGATGCCGTCACTTATATCAGAAGATTACTCGGACGACCCGGACTACGACTCTGAGGACTGAGCTTTTATCACTGCGCTGTATGTTCAATTACACATTTTCTTCTTACCATGTACATAGGCATTTCCGCTCTTTTTTTGAAATGATTGTCATTAGTGCCAAGAGGTGGATATTTTAATTAAAGCTACCTTTGTTATACACTGATAATATTAATGTCACACACAGGTATAGACTTGCATGGATGTCTTTTGTATTACTTCTTTGCTAGAAGAACAATGTTACCATGAAGAGTATACTCTTCCTTCCATCTTGATATAAGCTTTGAAGCAATAAATACTGTTGCTCCATCATGTCATATTTTCGCCCTACAATTCTACGATTGTGTGCGATCCTTTCCAACCGGTGCCTACTCTTTGACTCTTCTTTGCCTTGATTTGGTCCACTCTTGAGCTTTATTTGGTCACTACAGCCGGATGTGTTGTCTGAAGATCAAGAGCGCATAAGTTCTTGAAAGCCAAGTCATCAATAAGTGCTTGTCAAACCATGGTTCTTGTCTTCTCTTTATCTGAATACCCCAGCCTCTCGAAGTCTTGATCCACTTGAAACAGAAATAAGGGTACACTTGGTAAGTTTTATCAGAGAGAATTAATAGGGATCTGAGCTTGTGGAATAATTTTTGAAGTTAATATTGATATGAGGGAATAAAGTATAGTCTACATTCAGATCATCTCAAGGAAGGTGTGCAGACGCTCAGAGTCTGAGTAGAGGAGTAAATGGGAAACTCTCTTTCTCAGACTTGCTATTTTAAGACTTTCATTTTTGAAAAATTTCTTTCATAAAAAAATCCAGACTTTGCAAATATTTCACTATTCAAATCTCCTTGAATTGTTTTCATTTTCTTGCCTGTCACCCTTCTTTTTTGAACATCTTTTATGGGTCAAATTGTCTTATCTCAAATATAATGGTCTGTCTCGACTTTCCTTTTTTCTTTTCTTGCAGCTTTCCTCTCTCTGTTTTCCTCGATGGCATGAAGGGATCCGAAATATGGTCCTTCAGCCCATCTGCGTACTCCCGAGATCTGCTTGATGCTAAAGCACTGAGACACGCTTATTCCATGATGGTTGGTTTTGCTTATTGGTTAATAAACAAGCGAAGCAAGGGAGGACATGTTATCACATTTGATTTCTCTCTGAAAATTTCCGGCAGATTGACACTTGACTGTGTTTGGTTGGTGGTCCGGGTATGGTCCATGTCTCGTTCATGGCTTATGATTGAGTTTATTCAGAGAGTGACGTATGTAGTGCTTATCTAGGCTTATCTAATCCATCCTTGATCAGCATTGTGATGCTGTGATCTTAAGAAGTATGACGTAGTGATCTGATGATGATGATTAGATTGGTAATCGAAAGTTCACTGCTCTTGTTTTCCTTTCTTCCTTTCCTCAACACTTCTTGACCTTTAGATCTCTACGTGCGGTTTTGCTTTTCCATTGGCCACATAACTTCCTCACAAGTTTTCACTCCTTTCATCGCATGTTATTGCGAGCTCATTGGTGTGTAACAGGACAACGCTCTGATTGAGATTTCGACTGAGGCATCCACTTCTCTTCGTCAAACTGAAATCAATATTGGACTTCCTTCACCCGAGATGATTTCTACTCAAGGACTCGACTCACAAGTTTCATACAGTGATCCTTGGTCAACAAGATGTGAGTATGTTCTAATCTCAATCCAGAAGAATGTGATATAGCAGGACAGATTGCTAACCAGATTGTCAATCCTTCACAGAGTCGAATGGAACCTGGTGATCGAAGGATTTGTGTAGAAATCATTTCGATGCGGCGAAAAAGCCACATGGTTCGAGGGAAGTGGAGGCTTTCCAGGCATGCTCCTAACCCATCAGTAAGGCAAGAGCGAATGGTATGTCTGTCAAAATTGAGCACTGACTGTAGAGCGAGTATATAGTCTGAAGTGATGGTATGTCCATATTAGATCGCTGGGTAAACCGTAAGATTGATCCACAGATTTTAAGCTCCTCAGGGGAATCCCTTTGCGATCCGCCTGGTGGATCTTGAAGCGCTCAAAAGGTTGAATATCTAACCAACCGGGACTCATCTACGTAGTTCGGTTTTGATTTTGGTGCTTGAGTGCTGCCACTGCCCAAGACGTTGATGAAGTGAAATAAAGCGCTTGGGGTCCTTTATCCGAACCTCAGGCCACGGCTAATCAAGTGATAAGACAAGCAAATCCTGATCACTATATCACCATTTTAGGCATTTATGAATCAGAAGAGTGCTTTTCCTTGCACGCAAAACATCGGTTGTTAGAAACCGTGGGAGAGGTTGCTGACGATTTCTTGGAGAATTCATTCTAAAGCTTACGAGCTTAGATGTTGCTCCAGCAATTCAAGATTTTTTTCACCAATCTGCAGGTCTTTCCTTGGAAGTGATTGACAAACTTGATAGCTAAACTGTATTTTAACATGGTCTGTGATATCCTTGCATGGAAGACTTTCAAGTTGAGCTTTGGGGATTAAAGTTGAGACTTGAAAGCATCTCAAACTTACCTCAGCTTTACGATTTCAGAACTCATGATTTATAGTGACTTCGGTTGTGAGAGGTTGAAGCTACCAATCAACTAGAAAACTTTTTAAACCGATTCATCATTCCACCGTACTACCGACGAGTCGATTGAGAGGTTTTTTTCAACACTCAACTTTCTACCATACTACAACCACCCAATCCATCTTTAAAATCAATCGAACCCCCTCTCTTGATTACAACTTACCCCTTTCTTTTTTTTCTTCATTACCCATCGACCGTTCAACCATTCCATTCATCATAAATCAAGAGTTTCCTTTTCCATCGATCCATTAACTCAATCAACACACTTCATCATCATCATCCATCATTCAACTCTCAATCAAACCTGAAACGATCAATCTCACCTCATTCAGTAGGCTATCCACCATCATTCCTAATTCTTCCATCATCATCTCAACCTAGAGAAACTCAATTCAACTTTATCAACACATTCTAGCCTGAAACCGCAATTTGTGTTCATTTGTTTGTGAGCACCTTTTTGTGGCCCCAAGATGTCCACCACCGCCACTACCGCCACTCCGGCTTCGCTGGGTAAATCCAAATCCGATAACAAGTGCGTATAATCCTCATCCATACACTCTTCTCCATTCCCAACCACACCTTCCATTCTTCTGGTTGCCTTTCTTTTTTGACTACCAAACACTCTTTTCAACAGTCGATCACATTCTCATCACTTCACGTCAATACATGCTTACCAAATCATCTCTCTTTTTAACTACACAGGACCAAACTCTCTAACTCTGGCAATCCGTCAAAGTCAAAGTCATCGAAATCCAAACGGGCTGGCGCACCACTCGATTTCATCGACACTCTTGACACTATCGGTGGCTGTCCGTCTATCTGTCTATCTCTCTTCTCGCTTCACATGTAGCTGAATCTTGACCATTTTCTTTCGTTCAACAGTTCATCATGATGGTCCGTTTGATGCAGCTTCTTCACATCGGAATCGACATGTAGGCTCCAAGAACCCTTCCAGACAAGCTCCCATGGCAGCTTTCGATCCTTCAGCCCTAGTCTTTCCACCTAATCCTCCTAAAAACACCCAAGAACCTAGTCCACACACCTATCCACCCACCAGATCATGCGATAGTGCGATGTCTGTCAGTATGGGATACCCTGCCGGTACTATCGCCGCTGATCCAAAGGCTGCTAGATTAGCAGAGGCGTTTGGTATTCAAGGCAGAGAAGCATGGGAAGATTTTGCAAGCACCCGTGGGAACGAAGAATTTGTTAAAATCAGTCATGCGGATCTCTCACCTAAAGGCGGGAGTGATAGGAAGCCCAGAGGAAGATCAGAAAGGGATGCCAAGGCTGCTAGTGTTTGGGATATGGAAGCTACTATGAAATCGGGAAAACCGGTACCTTCTAGTATGTCTTGCGCTCTTTTGCCGCATGTTTTGATTTCTATGAGTAAACTGATCTTATTATGTTCATTAGGTATTCCACCAGTTCCATCTTTACCAAACTTTCCTCGGTCATTATCCAAATCAGACTCGACTAATCTCGAAACTTCGCCAAATGTTGGAAACAGTGGTGCCGGAAATTCGATGAAACGATCAAAATCGTTGATGCAAAGGATCAAGAAGGGAGTTCGATCCCCTCCGTTACCTAATCGAGCTGAATATTATTCACCTGAGATGATGACTGCAGAAGAAGGAGAGATTGAAGGATCAAATAGGATGTCTAGAAAGACTAGTATATTGGGTAAATTTGGGATTGGTAGGAAAAACACGCAACCGAATACTCGACAATTACTTAGTCCTCCTCGTAGTCCTCCTACTGTGAATGAAATGTAAAGATCCTCATTCATAATTATCTAATCAAGACTTCATTTCTTTTTTTCCTCATCACTTTCCCTTGTTTTCGTGTCAGACTGAGTCCTCAGAAAGAAAGGATATAAACTGGGTCATCAAAAAATCCAATGTTTATGTTCTTGTCTTTCTTTTCATTCATTTTTCTTGTTTAATCCTTTTTTGCAGCATGAAAGAAGGAAGAAAGCAAACTTACAAACAAAAGAAAAGATCAATTGACACCAAAAGAGTTCATTTGTCTCTAGTGTCTTTCTGGTCTCCATTCCTTACCAAGCTTTTTGGGTTCCCTTTTTTTCTAACTATCCATTCTCATTCATCACTTTTTCTTCAATGTTGTTGTTTTGAAGAAATTGTTTTCCTTCCCCGAGTATATTGTAAAATTATTTCCTTTTTCTTTAGGATCTATATAATACAAGATTCTTTTTTTACTTTGATTTTTCTTTGTAACAATAATCATCCAATACTTTTTTTCTTTTGAATGGATTTGATATATCTTTTATTTTGTTTGGAAAGAAGAATGGGATGATTTTTTTTCGAGGGTTTTCTTTTTTTGATTGTGATTGTGAAATGCGAAATTTGAAAGGCAGTTGAATGAATAGAGAAAAACTTTATTGAGGTCCTCGAGGCAATGGTTTGAGGAATTTGACTAGAGCATATATGAAGCTAAATATGTGTATGGCGGGATTGTGCTAAGAGTAAAAAGGTTGTAAAGGAGAAAGAGAGATCTGATCTCTCCTATTCACTTTGAAGGAGTGGGGACTGGCTGCCTGAAAAAAATAGAACAATTTGTCCATGGAACCCATGAACAGACTACACGCCCACTGGACCCAATTTGTTTTAGTGTGATTGGATGGCAGCAGTTTAGAAAGCCGATTACTTCACGACCCTCAATTTCAATTTGAGATGGAATCACTGGGAATCTCCGTGGATATGGTAGTGACATTGCCCACTACCTCAAATATGGGTTGATACGTCAAAATACAAGGTTCAAACCATAGCTTATATTCCAGCGTGCCCAGTACCCAGGATGGTGCCACACAGCAACAAGCGAACGTATTGACAATCAAATGTCTTTAGTTTATAACAGTTCTATCCAATTCTAACAAGTCAAATAATTATTACAAAATAAACTTTCCCAAGACTATTACAATACATCTAACACGACGAGTCTTTCTACATGTCTCTATGAACGAATTGTACCTTTTTGTTAATAAATATTTTTTTTCTCTCTGCTGATGTGATGAAAATACAAAATTCCATACACTGGTTTTTGATGCTAGAAATGGTCATCATAAGAAAAAAATTGGGGTTTAGATCAGTTATGAGGTCTTTGGACTACTTGTTTTTGAGACATGTGTGAGACGTGATATCAAAGTTGAGAGGATGCAAAAGAGTTAACATCTTCATCAGTTGTGTAGGTTAGCTACGATCTTAGGTGAATGTGATTAGACCCCTCCTTATTCAAGTACCATCACTTTATACATTCCACTATTCTTCCTTGCCCAGAGGTCCGATGTAAGTTTAACTACCAGATCATATTATGAAGTCACGACACACTATGTTCTTCGGAAGAGAATGTTATGGTCATGTGGGAAGTGGTGGAGTGTTATGATATATCCGTGGTGGTATTTGCTTCGCGTTTTCAGAATACGGAAAAGGGGGTTTGCTGGGAGTAGATGAGTCGGGAGGAGTGCGCGGAGATGAAGCCGTACGTAGACTACTCGGCTGCTTTGTCGGCTCTCGGCGTATGTGGTCGGAGACAATGCCTTTTAGAAATCGAGGAGAATGACGGGGGACGACCATACTCTTATCTGAGTAAAGAACTTCTTGATGAAGCCGCGCAGCTGGTGGGGCGGGTAGAGGTGGTAAAGGAATTGATGGTGGAGGCGTAGGGGGTGGTAGTTTCAGCTCTGCAGACCGTCGGTGAAGAACCGATCTGTAATGAAGACTGGTGGGAGATGTTCCATCGGAATTGGTAGAGCGGGAAGAAGTAGGGTTTGAGGGTGATGAAAATGAGGTAAGTTCTTCCTTTGGAGTCGGTTCTGGAGATATCTGTGGTTGGCATGTGAGTGGAGCTGCCTCAGAGACGACAGCATACTGAGACTGGCGGATTAGGCCGGATGTGAGACAACCTTTATGATCGACCACGTCTTGAGCTTCGGGTCTTGTAGGCTTTTGAAGAATGCTGAGCAAGGAGACGGAAAGGACAGAATTTTCGAATCGTCAGCGGTTCGTCACGAACACTAGAGTATCTCGAAAGTTGCAAGACTGCTAAGAAATACCCTCACAGCATTGCAGGGGCTCCCGGTCTTTTGATCCCTTTGGTAAAAGACGGGGGTGTTTGTTGGTGCCATTGCAGCTTGGTTAAGGGGCTGCTGGTAGGCGTCATTGCCCCAGCGGGCTCGCGGCTACTCCTATCGTATAGCAATATCGATTGAGCCCGTATTGGAGATGGAAGCTGCACCTGAAAGAGAAAAATAAGGAAAGGTTAGTACAATGAAATCCGTTTCTCTTCCTCGAATCAGACAATGAAAGAAGCCGGGGGTCGCTTACTCCAAGTGCTGGCGCACCGTTGAGCGCTGTTGTGCACCACACACTAGCCGACTTTGGAGTTCGGTGACGTAGCATTGTTTGGTCCGTTGGTTGAGTTGTCCAAAATACTTTTTCGATCCTAGAGAGTAGCGTGAAGCGTGAAGAATTCAAGACTGGCGTAGAGAATCGGTGTACTTGTTCTCGTTCTGGTGGTTCAAAACAAATTTGCCGAGCAGGAGCAGAGTGAGGCGTATGAGGTTCACTAGACGACGCCCTTTTACGACGCGTGAGACAATCCCAAGAAGACATCAAGTTGATGAAAGTTGTGTGGATGTCCCTTTTGCTGAGCTCAAGAGCGGAAGAAGCTACTCGGGAGAGATCAGGATGACTATGGGTTCACCCTGAACAATTTACTGTAGTGCAAAAATTGATAGAAGATGTGATTATCGCACTGGTAAAGGGAGGACAAGTTTGATTGATGATAATGAGCGTGATGAAAGGAGTGAAACAGGGGGTAATGCAAACTAACGTGGCGCATCCGAGTGGGTTCAATGTTGTAATAGAGAGCCGAGTCAACGCGTAAAATTGGTCAGGCTGAAGGGTATCTGTGTCACTGGGGTGTTGGAGGTCAGAGAGCTCTGGCTTGCGAGATGAGCTGAATGAAAGTATGAGACATGCATCGTTGGGATCACAAGGGAAGAACAATTAAAAGGATTCAAGACAGCTTGGGATTTAGAATTGCAAGTCTCCGACCCATGACGCTTTGATCAACCAGAGTCACGGCGAGCTTAGCAACGTCTCCGATCAAGGAGGGTGTTGTCGGGGTAGCTCAGACATCTACATTGCGCAAACAGGTGGCGCAAGGTGAAGCCGGAAGGCAGTCTGCTGGCATTGAGGATCCGCGTCCCTTTTGGGAGTCGTTGGTCTTGGTCATTTGTGATGACAATTTGGGGTGATGATATTAGGAATCAGGAGACATAGATCAGGATTCAACAGGGCTGCTCGTCCTCCCGTTATTGAATTTGAGTTATCCCTTTGCGATGTTTCACCCTCGAAGGCTGAAGCTGCGGAAGACGTTTCACACAGGTCGAGTCTGTACCTATGGCCCTACTACCAATTGCGGGTTTGGAAAAATCTCAATGCGGCATTATAGGTGTAGACTGTCCTTGAATCTATTGTCTCCTCACTACAGTCCAAAGTGATTGTTAACGCCGGCAAGGTACCAATTTGTAATTTAACATATCAATTCCACTTTGATTCTTGACCATCATACGCTGCTCACGGTTGATTGCTCTACCTTGTAACGTCAAACGCAGAGCGCCTCAGCTTGACACAGATGTTTCTCCAGAGATTTTCATTAACGCATCATTATGATGTGGTAGGGTTTCCGAGTAAATACCAAGAACAGTCCTACAATTTGGTTAGTGAGGACAGCTCAGGGTAGATTAATTGCATGAACCGTAGAGGATGATCATACGGCACTCAAATCGAATTACTCGGTTTGTCGAGGTCAACCACCGCTATGAACATTTGGGCATAGGTCACACACCTGTGATTTGGGACAGGGGAGGCCTTGGGCTTCCTTCTTTTGCAAAAAGGCCATTGGCGGGCAGTAGTATATATGCTTGGATGGCATGTTTGGTGCGTGAATAGACGTATGGCTCAAATACCCTGCTAAATTACGTATCACCAGCTCAACTACTGAGGCTTCGACAGCACCCTGAGTTTTCCTTCAATCGGCCTTTCTTTACAACCCGTATTCTCAAGCCTTTTCCTTTCGCTCAATCCCATTAGATTAGGGATTTTTGTACGCATTCAGTCTCAGAATGGTTGAACTGTGGTGTAAGTACCAGTGAGCAATGGAGTTGGTGACATAAAAATGCAGAAGATAATACATATTCATCATGGTACCATTTAACCTTACAAGCATGCCACCCATATCTATTCATCAGAACCCATAAAACATGATGAAGTAAATCATAGGGAATTTAAATCGATTAAGAACAATGGGTTAGAAAGTAGCATCCCTTAATACTATCAGATATCCAGTGAGCATTCATCTTCCAAGTTCTCCAAGTCTAAAACCCTGCAACTTATCGATCTTTACATCTACTGATCCATTCAATGATCATATACTATACATCATTCAGTATCCATGTAGACTTATTTTTTGCAAGGTGTTGAACCAGAACCTCTCCTTGATTTGTGCTGACTAAGGCAATTATGCATCTCCACATCCAACTGTGTTACCTCAATGCCTTGTTGTTGGAAGCTACTTTTGGACTCTGGTGGACAGTGAATAGGCACATTCTAGCAAGTTTATATCCATCACATCAGAAATACAGAACCCAAAAAGCTTTGGGTTTCAAATTCTAGAATTATGACGAAAGTTGTGAAAAAGTTTCTGGAAATATTCAGCAATCAGATTATTATAGTATAAATATCATGGAGGTCTGACTCTCAGATAACAAAACCGTAAGCCCCATTTCACATTATCCAGAACACAATGACCATCCAACTTAACAAAGTCCCTTGAGGCCTTGAGAGCTACGTCATTGTGGAAGTTGAATCCACAGTCTCCTCACACTGGGGACAATTCTGGAACATATTGATAGGTGCATGTCATTTTGATCAGTGTCATGGAGTGCACATACAACCACAGGCACACCACAGTCACTGTGGATGTGTGACATGTGTGCACTGGCTTGATCAACAGATCCCTCACATCTTGGCTTGGTATGTGATTATTTTTTCTCTCAAGTGTCATGCTGATACATGCAGAGTCAGCTTGATGAATTTCAGCTGTCAGCGTGCAGGACTTGATTGAGTTAATTCCAGTTTTGCGGAAGGGACTTATAACGAATACCGTGAGAAAGTTCAATCCGCGTTAGTATATCGGCTAGTATGGCCGCCTTTCACAGCGAAGTGCGCGGTAGAGACGGGTTCGATTCCCGTACGCGGAATTTTTGCCCATTCCGAGTCCTGTCTGAGCTGGCACCGATAAACCTAGCTTGCACAATTGATACAACTTTGTTTCCAGCAAATCATATGTTCTTGAATTTTGATGAACCATTCAGAAGGAGTTCAGCAAGCCAAATTTCCCTGAAAATATTATCAGGTGACTTCTGAAGCTACATCGCTGCAATCATACTCAAACTCGCTGAAAGTTGCGCATGAAGGGTGTCATCTGGAAGAGGACCGGCCGCGATATCCGGTCCGTAGGGCACTCCGGCCCTGTGCTCATCCTGCTCGTCAGGCTCGGGCTCTAAACCTATGTGTGAGACTGCGCAGCCCATGTACAGTCCGCAGCATACCTTCGTCAACTCTATACCGGTCTGCTCGCGCCCAGCCGCTGTGCTACCACGGTCAGTCAACTCCTCAAGATATTTCTGTTTTCTTCCGAGATTCGGCAGTAAGCTTTTGTGCTTTTTAGAGGGCGATCGCACATGTGGCTTACTTCCACCATGATTGTGTTTAGATTTGCTGTCTCCTGCCTATTCCAGCCGCCATAATCATCAAGATGTCTGCTCAAAACAAGATTCTCCGAACTGCTAATGTAAGAGCCTGTTCCGATGCGAGACCTCACCACCTCAAAATGTTCTGACAAACCTTACATGTAGGCCCCTCGAACCAGCCCCGATGAAATCGAGCTCCAGGTTGCCCAAGCCATCCTCGATCTCGAAACCAACGTCCCTGACTTGAAGGCCGACTTACGTCCTCTTCAGATTAGTGCTGCTCGAGAAGTCGATGTCAAGGGTGGGCGCAAGGCCATTGTCATCTTCCTCCCTGTTCCTCAAGTCAAGGCTTTCCACAAAGTCCAAGGCCGGTAAGAGTGTCCTTAGACTCCAGATGTGCTGTGCAATTCACTTACATATCATCTACCTTACTCTCGTTAGACTTACCCGAGAGCTCGAGAAGAAATTTTCTGACAGACACGTTGTCTTCATTGGACAACGCCGTATGATGCGAAAGCCCAGCCGAGGAACCAAGCAGAAACAACAAAGGCCTCGATCCCGTACCTTGAAGGAAGTCCATGAACGTATCTTGGAAGATCTCGTCTATCCCACCGAGATCACTGGCAAGCGTATCCGTTTCCACACCGATGGATCCAAGGTTATCAAAGTGTGAGTACCTTGTCGATCCACGTTCTTCGTCTCGGTCTCTGAAACTGACGCGGGTTTCGCTTGCAGGTTCCTTGACTCGAAGGACGCCACCTCATTGGAATACAAGCTTGATTCCTTCTCTTCAGTGTACCACCGTCTTACCGGAAAGACCGTACACTTCGAGTTCCCTCCTGTCCAAGAAATCTAAATCATGATTGATAATAAAACACGCACCATCTGATGTCCCGGTTCAGAACCTACGAGTCATCCCAGTCCCCTCGCCCCAGAATTTCTGACCGAGGATACCTATCATCCGCAATCATGCCCTTGAATAGTTGAATTTTCTTGATGTATCCTGGTCTGAGACTTCGTGTTCGAATCGAATCCCCCAGCTTTCAGTGTGACGATGCCGCCATCTTGCTATACCGGTTTTGTCCACGAGCATGACAGTCTCGCCTTCATTCGCAGTTTGAGACAAATCCTATTGCGAAACCACCTGATCATGCTTTTATTGTGTACAAACCAACTTGCCCATAAATCAAACCTGTGACCTGATCCCACTCAATCACTCGCCCAGCTTGCCATGCGCAAGTACTGCTTCCTGCTCAAGTCCCACACTACATTATCATTTATTGCTCTCAACCCCCATAGCGACAGTTACCGCTCAACTTCTTTGCCTCTCTGCATGAATCAGAGTTGAATGTTCACTCCGAACCGTCGCATCATTCTATCAGTATGTTGAGCTGAAATGAGCAATGCAGTCCTGGCTCTGCTAGACTAGAGATATCACATTCCACATCTCATCATGTTTGTTTTGCCATTGTGGCTCAGTATCTTGAGGGTATTCATGCCAATTGACAACCTTGAAAGCTTGATTTCATACTTGATCTGAGGTGGAAGGAAGGGGAAACTAAACTCTCATGTGCATCAACAGGAATGTAGTGGTGGTGTTAATGTTTGTTGAGGGGTCCAATTATGGGAACTACCTGCTATTTGCTGGCCCCTTGTCCTCCAATCTAAGAAACAAGGTGGGGTGCCTAGCTTGTTGGGTTGATAAAATTTTGATGATAAGACTATCTGATGACTGTGGATTATGAACCCTCTGACTCTTGTACCATGAGTTCTTTCCTTGGGCTGGTTCCTGTATGTGAGAATGAAAATGTACAAATCATCCAGTTTTTGAAATAAAATCAGACAACAAGAAAAACACTTGAGGTGAGTCCAATAATTTCTTTGTGTTGCTCCAGTTAACTTTTAGCTCTTCCTTTGGGGACCGTTACAGTTGTTTTCCCTTGCCTTCATGGATCAACTGCAATAGAGAAGAAAGTTTTCAGTTGTCTCTTTCAGATTACAGGTGCTGCAGAGGGGGAGTCAGCCAGTTTTCTTTGAAATGAGTAAGTGTTTGAAGGATCCCAGCTTGAAACAGATACCTAGCCGCTGCTTGACCCTTTTCCATGTTCATCAGGACTTTAGAAACATTTTTTGGTTTCAATGAGTATGAATATTTACCTGGCTTAAAGAATAGTTGTTTGAAATTGAATGTATCACTTATTCACTTTTTTAAACTGCCTAAATTCAAAGGTAGTATTGTGCTTTCAGTTTGATATTAGGCTGCTTCTTTTTCTAGTCTGTCTGATTTTTTAAAAAAGGATATTCACATCAGTGGGTAACAATATGAATATCTGTACAGATACCAATGATCAGGTGTCCAAGGATGTCCTGGGGGCATTGTGAATGTGTTTCAGTGTACCTTAGTTATTGCTCGAGATAGCTATGTCTGAAGGGATTGGTATTTGTTGTCTAAGTTGGCCATTTGCTGCTTGAAAGTAATTTGGCTTTTTGATTGGAAAATTTATCAACTTGAAGAATTGATGTAGATTTGGTCCTTGAGTTAGTGACCGCTGAATCTCCTCCTCCTTCAAGAGAGACTGAGCCATTCAGGAACATAAAATATAATTTTCTTCTTCTTCTTCTCTGACTTGTTGGGGACCTACTTGTGTGGTGTTGTCTCTGGATTTCTCTAGATTGTGTAGACTAACCAAAACCTTTGTCCAAGGGGCAGGGGATGTGCATAACAATTTTTTACTCCTTCTTTTGCTAGTTCTTGGAGGTCTTCAAGTTGTAGTATGTCTTGAATAGGGCCTTTGTGCTTGGTTTACTTTATATCAAGCTCAAATTTGATGAATCTGTGTTTTGGGTGATTGTCTGGAGAGTTGAGTTTTTTGAGAATAAAGTTGTGATGTTGTTTGATGGCTGTGATGTAGAACAGTGGCATATACATGTGTGTGGTTCATCATATCAATTGATGTTGCTTGAAAGGCGCCAAGGATGAGTTTCTGGGCAGAATTTTGTACAATTGTTGAAATCATGTTTACTTCGCTGAAGTTTTTAGACATTAGCCAGACCATGCCGCCATAAATGCTCCTGGAAATGAGGTCGGAGATTACCAATTTCTTAACCTTTGAGAGTCCTGAATGGCATTTATTCAGTCATTAGAGTTGGCTTAGGGTGAACTTGCCCACATTCTTCATGTGTTGTAGATGGCAGTTGAATATTAGCTTGGAATCAAAACCAAACCCCAAACCCCTAACCACTTGATTTCTTGTATAGGATTCAGTAGTACTTCTCCAAATTCAATGCTAGGGATTTCAGGATTCCTTTTATTGGTGGTGTGAATCAGTGAAGCTGTCACATTATCAAATATAGTTCTGTGTGTTCTAGCTCATCCAAGGGATCTGAAAGCATTAGTACTGAAATTTTCAAGTTTTCTTTGAATATAGGCGAAAAAAGTACGCAAAAAACATTGTCAATGACCCAAGAGAGAGGCTCTTAGAACAAGGATTTATGGTGGATGAGCTGAGAAGTGCAGAGTTATAGATAATGTACAGGATGACTGACAACTGTGACCCCTGTGTTAGGCCATTTTCATATTAAAATTGCTTGAGATAAAAGCCAAAGGCACAGCTTAGTTATCCTTTCTGAAAAATGCATTGAACTCATTGGAGAAGGTATTTAGGGCATTGATCTTCATGAGGAATGAACCGTAATCTCTTGCTGTGAACTGACAGGTAGGCTGACTTAAAATTCAGGAACAGTACAGTGTCCACTTTTTTCTTAATTTCTCCTTGATCAACAAGGAAAGTGTCAAAGGAGTGCCATTTTTTGAGTGGTGGTGTCTGCAAACCATGTGGCCAGTTGCAATGATATTTCTTGCTTCTGTCCAAAACATGATCCTGCTGGTAATGGGGTTTTCCAGTAATTCACCAAGGCAACTTAATAAGGCAATTGGGGCCTGAATAGTTATCTTTACTATTCTCCCTGATGATAATGGTGACTGAGGTAAGCCAGGAATTTGGGGAAAAACCTTTTGCAAAACACACAATTCCACTCCAGTGGCTGGAAACACTGATTTGATATTTCAATAGAGAATTTCTCCTCACCATTAGCTTGACAGTCTGGTAGATTATTAACACCCTTTTTGAGCTCATGGATCTCAAGGTCTGGATAAAAGGTGGGGGATTTCCAAGAGATCTGCTGTGTGGGCAACTGAGGTGCCATGGTATAAGAGGGACACCTGTTCTTCTTTTGCTGTTGTAACTGATCCAACTGGTTTATTGAGAGGTTATATTTTGCCAGGCATGTTTGGCTTAACATATTAGAAGGCTTTGGAAGAGTCTTTGCCCAAGCAAGGAGCTAAGAATTTTTTCCAATGGTTGAATTTTGCTTTGAGAGCCTGCTCCTGAAAGTGCTTCTTTCATTTACAATAGCAGGCACAAGTTTGGGTAGATTTGATTGTATCACTCATCTTGGGCTTGTTTTTGGGTCTTGAGAATCAGGTTCAGTTTGTCCTTATTCCACCAGACTTTCTGCTTGTTGGGTTTGGTTTTGATCTTTTACCTTGGTCCTGAGCAGCTTCTAAAATGGTTTTGGTGTTACAACTCACACTTATGACACATGAGTAACATATGAGGTACATGTCACAGATAGAACTCATGATTAGACTTGTAGAACAGTTGTACAGACTTCTCTTTTCTCTCATCTGAAAATCACAATACTAAACCTGGATTGATAGAAGAGACCCTCTCCCTTGTTGACAAACCTCTCTCCCTAGCATGGTCATAACATTTGGACAGTATAATGATTGCTGTATTGATATCTGAATTGTTAATATAGTATGGTAAGAGAAGGGGTAGTGTTGATGATATTTTACTGTGGAAATGTGGGATTTGGATGGCAGCTACTTTGAGAAAAACGAGAAAAACATGTGTTTCAAAAGGAGAATAAGCAAAAAATTAAGAAGAGTTTTTGAAGAGACATGATGACAGGATACACAGTTTGTCAGGACTTTACAGCTCAAAATTCTCTTTGGTAGTTCCAGCTTGACCACACCAGGTCTACTGCTGTGGGTTGTGTACATGTGGAAAAACAGGTAGGAACTCCTTTTGGTGACACAAGCTTGAGTACAGCAGAGCTGAAGGAGCAATGTGTTTTTTTGGCTTGAGAATAAGTGATATGATGGTCCAGGGGGTTCCAGCTGTGGTGGTGAAGGCTGGAATTGATAGCCAGGATTGTGGGGATCTGGTGTTTATGGTTTTTTCTGAGCCGCTGGTCTAGTGAAATAAAACATCTAAGGGATCCGGGAGGTTTATCCCACAAGTTCAACACAATCCTGAATTTAACTTTCTGAGTGTCTCAACTGCTAAAATGATATCAGTTGAGCTGGGTAGGACTCAAGCTTGACATGTTGAGATCAGTTTTGAGATATAAGTACAAACTTTTGGTCTGTTAGACCAAGATGTAGGTTGACAGTCATAGGCCATTATTTGATGCCAGGCCTTGTGATAGGGGAAAGTAATGGAATGAGACCTAAATCACAGTCCTCAAAGGGCTAGGACCATATACTGGGTATGTGAGAGCTTCATGCTTGGTTTTTATTGAATTTTGACCATTGAAGTGCAGGATTGAGAAATTGTTTCAGTGAAAGAGGGATGGTGGGGATTTATACATCTACAGAAGTTTGGTATTTGTATAAATTAGGCATTTGTGGAATAGGTGAGCTGTTTGGTGCAAAAATTGTGTTTTTATGACTCATTTTCAGTTAGTGATGGAGGGATAATTTATATGTTGTGTTTTGGACAGGGTAACCTAGACTTTTTGTCAAGTGATTTTATTTAGAGGACAAGCAATCAATCTTATCCTTAGACTTCTGACTGTTGTAATAATAACGTCTTGCATGTTGTTAGTTTGGCATTTATGGTCCTCAAACCTATGCAAAAATTTGTGCAAGTTTTGTACAAATTCTGTGCAAGACATGAATAGAACCAACGCAGCAACAGATACGGTACTGGTATTGTATCTGCAATACCAGTACCGTACCTGATAGGAGGGTACTAAAAAAAATGAGTACCCAGTACCGTACCTGAAATCAGTTACAGTACTGAGTACCGTAGCTGTTGGCTGAGATCGCCTTATGCCTCAAAGGCAAGTACCGTACCTCTATTAAGCGGTCGGTACGGTACTGTACCGGTAACTGGATAACACGCTCCGGTACGGTACAGTTTTGTACCTGGGCAGGTACCACTAGGTACCGCGGCTAGTACCTCTTTGGTACCTTGGCTAATATTACTATTAGAATAATTAGACAGGAAAGGATGAGACACATACCATTTTGGCCAGATCGGTAGAAGTTGTTTGTGATAAAGTGGAGCCACTTGCCAAAAAGGACAAAGGGTGTACAGTGGGTGAGCCCCTGGCTGTTTCACTTGGTCAAAACCAGGTACGGTATGGGTACAGTACCCATTTTACCGGTACTGCTCCTAGAGAGTACCCAGTACCGTACCCGGCTTTCAGGTACTTAGTATCGTACCGTACCTGGTAAAAGAATTGGCTCTGGAGCCATTCCAGTATTGTACCCAGCACCAAGGTACGGTACTCCCGGTACAGTACTCAGCAGAACAGATATGGTACGGTACAATACCGGTACCAGTATGGTATCTGTTGCTGCGTTGATAGAACTTGCACAGATCTTGCACCTTGGCCTTGCACGGTCTTTATACCAGTTGGAACCCAATAGCTGGGGTTGTCAAAAAATTAAATGTGCAAGATTGGTGCAAGAAATCTTACATGGATCTTGCATGTTGGTCTTGCACAGTTTTTGCACAGGTTTGAGGACCATAATTATGAGGGTCTCCACATTCAATGCAGTAAGCATTATTGTGGCAAGAGGAGTGGGTATGATTCAAATCTAGACAATTCAAGCACATTATGGGGCCTTGAATGTACTGTTCACTTTTTATTCTGCACAATTCACATAGACACCCTTTGGCTACTCAATGACCTATATCATTATAAAGTAGATTGAGGACAATTGTTCCATGGTTCTTCCCTGATCTTTGAGGTGTTTGGGCCATTTATCTGAGTGGAAACATAGTTGAATGGTACCGGGTATCTGGTTTGAGATGTTTTGAATTCTCTGTGTGTAAGTTTTGTCCATGGGTGTTGTCTATAAGGATATTGCCTGATTTAAAAACTGACGCGCTTTGTATCATGACTTGGGATCCATTTACTTTAGCGTTATCCGTAGCAAGTGCAGAGTTGATGCTGTGTACAATTTCAGAGCTTTTCATTCCTTTAAACGGTTCTAGACCTGCGCTCTGGTGCATGATAAGGGTGGCCGCTTTGAGCTTATTGATGTCGGCATTCTTTGGCAGAGGTCTGGGGGTCGGTAGCGGATTCTGTTTGGGATAGGGATCAGCCCAGGCATGCGGTTTGACAGGAAGAGGGTAGGTAACCATTGGAGGTTGGTCCATTTCAGGGGATGTTCGGTCGTTTTTCAGACTTCGGATTTCTTGACGTAATTCGTCAATCGTCTCAATGAATAAAGACATCATAGTGATTATGCTATGGAAGAGAGCCTCATTTGAGTGAGAATTCTTCTCCGATAAAGCAGCAATTGTTCATCATCTGGTCTGGGTCGATCTGGGAACGATTGATCGTCGCATTTTTGGGGGGGCGTTCGCATTATCTTGGTCGCGATCGAGGGGGGGTTAATGGGGCATTTTGAGGGGGACTGGGGGTTAGCGAGGGGTCTTTGAATGACTTTTGAATCTTGATGATTTCTTAACAGAAGCATGATGACTTTGGTGGTGTTGATGTCAGGAAACTCTTGGAGTTACGAGTTAATTCGACCCAGATCGGTACTCAACCCGCCGGGTCAACGTCAAGCTTGTCTGTTACAGGGGCTCAGCGTCGACTGATAGGCCAGAAGGCCAAGATTAACACTGCGAATGACCTCCTGAGCTCCTGTGATCCGATTTGATCTTGGCTTAATTCGCTTCAATCATCTACCTATCATCAAAGACAGTGATGCGAGAGATCGGGAGGACAATTCCAAATCAGCATCTTCTTTTCTTAGCTCAAAAATGTCACGAAATGATGAACCAAAAGCGACCTTCGATCACGGAAGGCTGGGCAATCTTTCACCAAACGAAGTGAAGGCTCACTTTGCGCGAGCACTCTCTAGGCCCGAGAACGCGACATGGTGGCCATTCATACGAGGCTACTCGATCGGTTACGCTACGGAGGTCATCCCTAGCTTGGTCAAATTGCTTCTCGTCAGATTGATTAGCTTGTCCAGAAACCGTAATCGAACGGGAGGATTGGGGAGATCATTATATACTCTGATTCGCAACATGGTGCAGTTGATTCTCAAAGGTTTCAGGCCTAATGGATTCGCTATGGCTTGCGCGATCGCGATGGGGGGTGGAAGATGGGGTGAAAGTGCTGTTCGGCCGACTATGGAGCGACTCGTCAGGGCCAACAGAGTTGTGGCTAGAGTTTGCCGGCGATTCATACGCTTGCTTAAACGAAAACCGCTCGGCCGTTCAATCAAAGAGGATAAAGAAGAGATTTGCTTGAGTGAACGTGAAACGCGCATCCTCGACGTGATTTCGACATTTGCATCCACCTCGATTGCTTCGCTGATTGCCATCACAGTGCTTCAAACAACACAAACTCCCAAGCAGACCCAATCTCCCCTAAATCCAATCACCACACCTTATCCAACTATCTCGACCAAACCCGAGGTCTCATCTGCTATACTGGTAGACGAAGGCTCACTATCCCCCAACCCCCTAGCATCCAGATCAAATCGATCAGACTTGAAGCCTAAGAGGTTCCCACAGTCATCAACTCTGGACTTGACCTTATTCTTCACCGTCAGAGCCTTGGACACTATCATCCAGTTCATCTACGCCTCATACTCGTCTCCTTATCTCGCACTCCTCAAGAGATGCTCCGATATTATTCTGTTCCAATTGTCCTGCTGGAGGATAATGTGGTGCTGGTTCTACAAGCCCCAACGATTGCCGCATACGTATGTCAAATGGATTACCGCGTTGGCTGAAATGGACTATCGGTTACTGAGAATAATCCGATTAGGCAAAGCTGGAAAATATGTCTACGGACAGAAACCTTTGAGCGATGATATTAGTGAAATGGGTAGGGCAATTGCAAGTAACATGGGACTTGAGCCGATGCTGGGTGACCCTGAGTTCATTGACAAATTGTCGTGTGAAATTATCCATGGAAAGCTCGGAGCTTCTGAAAGCTGTCTAGTAAACTCTGGGAGAAGGTGGATGAAAGCTTGGAGACGCGGAATGGGTATATACTTGCCAGTGAGTCGATCACTGTCACAAAGATAGTTAATTCAAAAATCTGAATCTCTCTACAATTTGATCTAGGTTTTCACTGTCCCGGCAATTCTCTTCAATCGCGAAAAGTGGATCAATTCCCCGCTCAAGACCCTCTTCCACATCCTCATAGGCTCATCGCGCTCGGCGGCTTTTCTGTCTACGTTTGTGGCCCTCACCTGGTCAGGTGTATGTATGGGTCGCTCCACCGTCGCCCATGACCTTTTGAATATACTCCGTACAAACCCGGTATCAACGACATACATGGATTCCAACTTCGCCCCGCAAGTTGGCAGTTTTCTAGCCGGGTGGAGCATCATGATCGAAAATAAAAAGCGGCGAGGTGAAATGGCCCTGTACGTGGCCATGCGAGCACTTTATGCTGCTATTGACCACATACTACCGGCGAGGTTACTCAAGAACATCAAGCGCCACCAATGGGTGTCAATTTGGGTCGAGAGGTTGACGTTTGCATTGTCAATTGGTACCATTACCAGCGCTGTGATTGCATTTCCTGATTTTTTTATCTGGCTCGAGCTGACCTTGTCTTTGAATGGATTGGTACTGAATATGCGGTTGATTTACTTGATCAGGTCGTACATGACTCCGCCCATGTTCGAGGTATTGTCAAAGGTATCATGACTTTCGCGGTCGGACCGCATTGGCAAGATCGATATTCTCCCTCCAAGATCCGGCCGATCACCCCGACAGATAAGAAGGATGAGAAAATCAGTGTACAGAACTCAACTACGTCGTAATGTGGACTCTTTCAAGTTACAGGAAATATAAATGGAATTCCTTTCTTTGTGATCAATGTACCTGCATTAGCTGATTTTCAGCGTGTTTTTTACTCTAGAGTTAGCTCATGTGTCTTTTCAACATGATGCGTTTGTATGGTGCGATGTATTATAGTTCCAGACTGCTATTCATGCTGATTGGCTGTGAAGTTAAAGTGGACGATGAGTGATCGAAGAGACTTCTTGAGGTAGACAAAGTCTTCGTATAATTGATAATGGTCAGACAAGATTGGAATCAACCTTGGTTTCGAAGGTAAGGATTATCAATGTACCAATTAAAAATTCATGACTTTGACTATTTTACAATATCAAACAAAACCTTGTGTGACATACAGACTGCATTTATCTGCATAGGGACTAACAAAATTCCTGAAGAGATAATCCTGCTGCGTTTATATATATGGTTGCTACTGTCAAAGGCTTGTGAACTTCAGACGGATACCACACATGCCCAAATCCAATGTTCTCACTCAAAACTTAACATTTTGAACATTTGAGAGCAGATTTGAGATCCTCAGTCTTATGTCTGTGCATGTATAGCTTTTATCAAACATTGATCTGCAGTTATCCATTGATTGTCCAGGTGCTGTTTTTGAGTGGAAAGTTCAATTTGATAATAAAAAAACAAAGGAGAAAAAAGAAAAAAGAGTTGTAATCTGATCATTTAGAAAAGCTACAGACGGAAAGCGGCCAGGCTGTGCATCCTAAACATGGTCTTACAAGCTTGGAATGTTGAGTTTTGAGAAAGAACATCCAATTTGAAGGTTTGGGCTGAAATTCATAAGCCTTTGGCAGTAGCAACCATACACAAAAGATTGAGGGTCGCCGCAACTTAAAGCAAGCACATTGTCCCGGGTAAGTCGGCTGTCACAAGATAGAACATCCGTTCCTCTTCCTTGCACGAGTGCTCCTACGTGCTATTTATGAACATTCAGTCCTCTGTTTAGACCTGCATATGTCTTATTGGGTGATCGATATCGAGTCCAAACAGATTGGTGAGCAGTTTGAGCTCTGTCCGTTGCTCATTCCCAGGAAGCTATCACCTCCTACAAAAAGAACACGTCACACCACGTGATCAGTTTTCTGCCAGTGGAACAAAATCATAAAACTAAACGCACGGTCTTGTATTCTTCGAACTCATCTGGTGAGGTCGTCGATGTACTGGACACTTCATACTCCTTCTTGTTGATTATATTTGTATCCTTCGACGGTGACTCCGCAAACACAAGGCCGACACTCCCATCGGAGTCTTGTCCATCATCTACCGCTTCCGGCTCTGCTTCATTCTGGTTCTCAATTGATGGAGTTTCAGCGCACGGCGTAGGGGTAGAGACACTATCTTCATGACTTGGGACGGCCATTGAGAAAATCAAATCATCAACTGGCAGAGTTTTGGAGCATCGATGCCTCAGTCAGATCGGGAACTATTGTGTTTCATCGTATCATTATTGATAACTCACCAGCCTCGATCCTACTTTGATCGTCCTCGATCTTGCCCAAGAGCTCCGCAGCCTCAACAAGGTTGACATCATCTGACTTGATCTGTCGAGCATGATGACTGCAAAGAGTTCTCAGTATCAGTGTAGTTCTGCAAGGCGAATTCGAGTGACTTACATCAATTTTTCCATGTATCTTGCCCCAAGACCCGCTATGTATTCCACTCCTGGAGTATTAATGACTGTGTCTGATGGAACCCGTTCGACCATTTTTTCACGATAGAGAGTGCGTCGTAGATGTGAGTCTATGATTATTTTCAAAACCCTTTCCACAATGTTATCTGAGAGTCGAGTTGGGTTATTGAGCTGTTGGCTAAGGATATCTATCGCATCATTCTCTAAACGGCTTTCTCTATCGAATAAATTTTCGTATTCTACGGTATCTTTTCGAGAACTGAATATTGGTCCGCCGTTTGGAATTGCTAAGCTTAAGGCTAATGACACCAGAGGAAACAAAACTGACAGATATTTCATAAGAGATGGCATTGTAATTGGATAATCGGAGATGTTTCTATTCTCAGTTGAACGTTGAAACCTTAGCCAACAGAATTTGGGGGAAAAGAGCAAAGAAAGATCTAGAGGAGGGTATTTTAGCGGCGATAACGGAACACTGGGTCTTCGATTCCCTTGACCTGCCAGGCTTTATAGATACAGATTTCAGCGGAAACCTAGTGGTCAAGTCCAACAGCCTCAAATGCCCTAATGGGAAAGCTTGACAACCGTTGATAACGATGATGAAGGAGACTTCAATTCATGAAGGAACATGCCTTATCACCCCAGAGTCAGACTCGATACCAAAGGATGCACTCCGTGCTTTTTGTCGAGGCTGGTCCTCGATAAGACAATGATAGGTAAGATCAGGTAGGTTTCTGATCGACTTCGGCCTTGAGGGTCTAGTATCGTCCGACGTCAGCATGAATCATAGCAAAGATACCGAAGAAATGAGCTTCCTGACGTGCGTTGCCAGTAGACAAGCCTTGCGGCTAACTTAGGCTTGGTTGAGGGACTTTTGTTTGCGGCTAACTTAGGCTTGGTTGAGGGACTTTTGTTTGCGGCTAACTTAGGCTTGGTTGAGGGACTTTTGTTAAGCTAGGCCTTGCCGTACTCGTAGACGAAACTCAAGTATTAGCCATATCTTGGGCTCCGTCTTATGTTCAAGGGCAAGCTGCTAAATCTGACGGCAGACCCCTAGATGTCGGGAGCTTTTCACTTTTTCTGAGATTATGCTTATTTTGGCGTGAGCTTGCTGGTGATCTGATCAGATCGGGGCATGTTGATTGAGACGTTTTTCAAGAAGTATCTTGATTCCCTATGTGAGCGAAACACAGACGCCGTGTGCCGTCTGTCCCCATGGCGACATCAGTGTAAAACTACTATCTTTAAAGTCTGGAGACTTGGTTGCGTCATAAGAGATGACCTGTTTGATAAAGTCCAGCGAAGCGCTAGTTCCCTCCATGACTGTCGGGCTTCGACGACAAGATACAGGCTCAGCACAAGATAACGCGTTGCGATTGCATCGTCACTTAATTTCCCCCTGATACAACAATCCAGGCGGGTGAGGGCGAGGCTGGGTTAATGTTCAATATTTGGGTCACTCTGACGTCGCTCACATTTTTTCACCGCCTGAACAAACGTCCATGGTTACATGCTACTCTGACTCGAAGACAGTACCCTATTAAAGCAAGACTTCCAGAATCACGGTCAGGCTCTTCTTTCCACCCATCATACTCAGTGACTTTATAGTGTATTATATCTGTGAATTCGTGTGGGTTCAAATACATCAGTTCTAAGCTATTCAGACTTCGATTCTTTTCTCGTATATAAAGGTTTATCGAGCCTCCACCTACAAAATGACCATGCATAACAAAGTTTTGTTCGTATTATTTTCTTTGTCCTCCTTGACTGTCACTACGATGGGCCGGGTAATTCCAAAGGATACTCGATTAGATGAGTTTCAGCGTTATTACAATCTTCTGGAAGACGAAAGAGTCAAGCAAGATAAAGCACTGGATTTTATTCACCGACAGCTCGAAGATACTGCTTTGTACACGGCGGACCAATTTCAATCAAATGTAGAAGGACTCATCGGGTCTCACTTACAGCGCAGTTACTTTCGTGGACAAATGGTCGAGTACATTCCATTGGACCCAGTCCTGGATACCGATGGCCTGGAATATTTAGAAGTGGTTGGTCGTAGATATACCGAGGAGACACTGTAGGTAAACTACATGAAGTTTTCCTTCGAAAAGATATTGAACTTTTTTAAATCTTATAGCCACAGTGCAAGAGAACTCAAATCACTGGCCATCGAAGTTCCCGACGCTGTGTATCACGCACAACAAATAGAGTCTAACCAAGCTAAAATTACTGCACGTGAGTTTTCAACAGCTCTTGTTGATGTTGATTAAGAAGAGAATGAACAAAATCAAAGTGCTTACCATTTTGCCACAAAACAGTTGAGGATTTGTTGCTCAAAGTGGCTCTTCCACATGCCCAAACATCTTCAGAAAAGGCTCTGTCCATTGAGGATTTCTTGGGTGCAGAAGACTTGAGCATTCAAGCAAAAGAGTTTGACGATAGTCCTATGTCTTTTGAAGAATTTGTACGAGCGTTCAAAGAGGAAAAAGTCGAGACAAAGGAAACGGAGTACAGCATGATCACAACCTCGAGAATCTCTGAGAGCGACGGAGAAATTTTACAATCCACTTCAGAAACGATTGTTGACATTTCGACGACTGTGAGCAACTTATGTTTCTTGATTATGATTTTCGCGAGTGGACTTCATTTCTGACTGGGATACCCTTTGATAATTCCAGGAGACGGTCACTACTACTTGGGGATGAAGTAACAAACAGCCATAGACATTCTCAAAACAAAATGATCGAATCCAATCCATCTGGAGGGGGATTCTGTCCGGATATCACAAAAATGTATCTAATATTGACAAGGAGGACAATTGGAACATATACGTGAAAAAAATAAATAGATCACAACTGGTCTTTGCTTTGTCATATTTCCAGGCATATCCTGTACTGCGAGAATAAATTTACCTTGTATGTAAATGATGTGAACAAGCCCCGAAGTCTATGGTCAAGTACAGGCTTATCCTTTCCGGGGAATATGATTACAATCCTAGCGCATCTGGTTGGATTTGTGAGACATGGCAGAAATTTTATAAGCCATAGATCTGACTCAGATGAGGGTATGACCAATGTTATCATCATCCGCATATAGCAAAACTTTAACTTTTGAACTTAAGTACAAAGTAGTACACATTGTTGTGCTCAAGTCAACAGTTTGACAGCTTTCGGCCTTATTTTTTGGGGAAATATCAGAGAGATAATCTCGTATAGCTGAAGCAAGGACAGCCCTGGGCCTCGTGATATACATACACTGGTAAACTCGTCAGACAAATTTTCAGCACGCCGCATCACTTGGAGTACTGTATAAAAACACAAGGGTTTGTTCTTGATGTGATGTAAGGGAAAATCTCACGTTCCCGTCACTAGGCAACATGTGGTTTGATGGCACGATGATCTTCATGAGATGAATATAACCCACAGGGTCTGAAGATGGAATTGATAAAATTCATACATCGGCACGGGCATTAGTGTACCCGAAACAGTTCGTCTACCACCTCCAGTACCTGATACTCCAGAAACGCACATCACAAATCAAGTCAGACAGGAAAGATGAATTAGATGGAATCTCAAGAGGCATGCTGCGTCTGAGTACAACCTGAATAAAAGTTGAAAATAGCTTCATGATCAAAGGAATTAAAAAGAAAAAGATCAGGAAAATCATCGGATAGCAAAGGCGATGGAACATCTTTCCCCGTGGTCAAATTTGAAGGAATTTCTTGTAAAGGCGGGGTGGGAGTAAGAAGAATGTCATGGGAACTGGGTGAAAGTTGCGAGGGTGGAGTCAGAGTCAAAGAAGCCGATGATGACGACAGAAGAGATGATGTTGACGGTGAAGCAGGCGCATTGAATACGGTGGGCGATGTCTCGTCCTTATTGGATAATCCAGGAGGCACAGGAGAGTCAAACATTGAGCTCGTATTCCAAGATGGTACAACACATCCCTCGGAAAGCGAATCCAAATAGGTTCGCTGAGAATTGAGAGAGAGACTTGAGCCAGGTGTGACCGGACGCATCGATTGAGTGATGGAACCATTCGATCCGCTGCAGTCAAGGACACTTTGGTAGGAGTTGATACTATTGATGGGCTTGTCAAGCGATTGGGAGGGGTCATTTTCCCATTCCCTCAGTCGCGGATCAAGCAAACCATGTTCCTGCAATTCAAAGCGGTCAGCTTGCAAACAAAAAACGGGTATGCACACGCGAGGCTCACGAGGGTGGATGGGGTAATCGGTTCTATCGCTGATAGGTGAGAGCTCGCTATCCCAGTCTGACTGGCAGAAGCGCGTTTCTTATTTGACCGGCGGGCGCGAGCATTGCAGAACTGGTAAAGGGAACAACGTGGGTACGTTGCCATGGCTTCTTTTTCGCAAGATGAAAACTCACCCAACGGTTGACTTGATCTTTAGAAAGTCCAAGGCGTTCCCCAACAAAAGTCTTCTCTGCCGGCGTCAGTTTATCGTCGTACTGGAGTAACTCGTGTAAAACAGACGTTTGGTGCTTGGTGAAGATATGTGGACGTCCCTGACGTCGCCCACCGACCGCCTTGGGTGCAGGGCGAATGCCTTGTGTAGAGCGAACAGGCTTAGAGAGTGTGTTGAAAAGAGAATCAAGCTGAAGTCGATAGAGTCGCTCGAACTCGCGAACCAAGAGACTGATATACTCTGATTTTGGCCGCGAACCAGCAGCAGGATCGGGCGTCGCTAGGATTTGCTGAAATGCGTCAAGAAAAGTGACCAGTATCAATTGCTCGATATCACGTATACGACGTGTTACTTGCAAGTGGTGCTCAGTGCAGTACAAGTTGAGCGAGCGAAGGCGATTGCTGATTACATCGTCGGTGTGATCAAAATTTAATGCGGGCGGTAATGCAGTGAGAGAATTGGTGGGCAGTGGGCGAGTGCAAAAGCAGGTTTGCAACCGCTTGAGGAGCACGGCGCTTGAGCTGGCAATTGAAGACCAGAGGGAAACGATACGAAGAGACATAGTTGACGGCACAGTAGCTTTAATCACGACGCTGATCAAGATCACAGTGCACATTTATGCATTCATTGCAAGGCGCAATTAAATACACGAAGCTCGTGTTAAGAGCCGTGTGTGAGCAAAGGAATGCGAGCGAGGGCGGAGTGTACTCGGTGTATCTACATATCAAAAGGCGTGATATGCCAAAGGCAAAGAGCAAGGAGGGTCTTGATCCTTTGATCATGATCAAACGAAAGGAATTCACTATGTGGGATATGAACATAATCCGTTCAACGAGCGATGGATTGAATACGGTAGGGTCATGAATTTTGACCTCGTGGGGTCGCATGCGGAGCTTTGTGTCGGGCGCTAGAGGACCCCGGGTAAACCAAAATGGCCTCGCGAGTCACTTAACCAAGTCCCACCCTTGCAGGGCGCCGGAAAGCTCCGATGCGGCGGGCGTGGGACGCTTTTGATGCCTTACAAGGATGAAGATATTAAGGACCAGGCACACTTAGAGCATCCACTGTATTGAGGGAGGACCCCGGAATGCGCTACTAAGGGTAGTCCAGTAGAAACATATGTTTTGAGCTCCCGCAGAGTTACCCTACATGGGATTATACCTAGCTCTAATTGATGATACACATCTCTGACTTTAGTTATTGCCAACCTTGCAAGGGTTTGAAGCAGTTGCAAAAGGTTGCAAAACACCTCAAGAATGTCCAAGGAATGATTAGCCCCTGTCAAAGCTATGGGTGTAGGTAGGAAAGTAGTTAGCAGTTTAGCAGGGACAGAGCTCCGCAGGAGCCCAAAACGTACTTTTCTACTAGACTACCCTTAGTAGGCACATTCTGGGGTCCTGTTGAGGGTGTTTTATTGTAAATTTTGTGGTCCTGATCTCAAAATTTGATCATGCATTTTATAGCTATGTTGTTAACCGCATGAAATCCACTATGGGATGATGTAACATGGAATTTAACCATGATAATCCATTCTTGAAACACTTTACACACTATGGCAAAATCAAGACTCAAATTAAATATCTTACACGCCAGATCCAAATCACTATTATGCCATGACCACCTCAATGACCAGATAGACTCAAATTGAAGGCTTCAAATGTTGACAATGAGCAAATGAGCTTTCTTGCCTCTTGTTTGATCTTGGTGAAATCAATGGTGCAAGAGCACTCTTTTTTCAAAAAATGCTTTAGTTTTTCAGCAACTTTCAAGTAATCAACAACTATTGAGATACAGAAGTTGTAAGGCCGGAGGGAAGATGATGAGTGACTAATGAGTGCAGAGCTGGATGGATGGACGGCTGTTGGCTCAGAATATCAGGGTTTATCACAAATTTTTTTATAGATAAAATACAATTGTCATAGCTTAACAAAAAAGCTTTATGGGTGAGGAAGGAATGCAAAAACAACAGCACCTTATACCAATCCAACACTTTTCACAGAAGTACCGCCACACACGCACCCCTCAATTCCATGACTCTTAGTCTCCTTTTAATTTTGGAAAGTCCAAGATGAGAAGATTTGCCCTAAAAAAAACTTTCAAAATGTGAAGATTTTACTTTTGCGCTATTGCACATGATGATAATCTCAAATAGCAAGAAAATCAGGTGGTCCAGAGATGTACTTTTTCATTTCCTTACTATGCGATGAGAGGCATTTAGACTAAGGCATGAAAGGTCATCATAGAACCATGATAGAAGAATTGATGATGTCTTGCCCCACTGAAAATATGTGAGGCACAACAAGAATAAACTTAGCAATGTGCTAATCTAATTGTGTATGGTATCTCAAATTGAAAAAATCAAATTTTGAGACAAGAACATGATAAAACATGAAAAATGACTTGTTTGAGTGCTAGTACAAAAACCAGGAAATATGTGACTGGTCCCTAATCTGTTCTAGATTGGCTTGTGTTTTCTATTGTAATTCAACACTCATATTTAATATTAAGGTGAAAATTCTAGACAAGATTGTATTGTTATGAGCTTGAGATATATGAGATCAGGGATGGTAGTTTGATAAGAGAAAACACATGTTCCTTTATAAAGATCTACCCTAATAAGTATCTTAGTGAGAGTGCAAGAACAGCAGTTTTAACAGTGTGAGACAAAGCTTGTGAGAATGAATGTAAAAGAAGAAAAATTCAATCTGAAACATATAACAATAGAAGAACCAATTGACCTACACTAATAGAGTCACTAATGCTGCTCCTGATTCAATACTACTATAAGATGTGTATATGGATGCAATTGTTTCAAAATGAAGATTACAAAATAGATAAATATTAGGGGGTTTCAAGTCAAATTATTTACAGTATGTTGCAGTACAGTAAGTTTTTCAAGATAGTAAAATTTACCATAAAATTTAAAAATTCAGGACATCTTTTTAGGTGTCCCGGATTCTGTTGACTGTATATTTGCAGAAAAAAAAAACACCATAAAATTTAAAAAGCTTGTCTGTTTTTTTAAAAAGTTTCACAAAGTTTTTTTGACTTGAAACCCCCTATTGTAATTATTTTGAAAAAGATGTGAACAATAATTTTCTTCTTGAGCAGGGATCAGAAAATCACATCTAGCCAATAGCTAACGTCAATAGAAAATGCATACTTATTGATTATAATTAAATGTGTTGTATAATATGAATATAGCAAACAAAAACAATGGCAGAGAAAGATGAAAAGAGAAACAAAACAATAGCTTGTCATTGTACACACTAACCATCCATTCTACCTAAAATCATTGACACACATTTTTTGCACGATCACTTATGACAACAAAAAGGGGAGTAACCAAAGGGTTGTGAGGCTTTGTAATGGCTACTGCTACCCACTACAATATGTCTACTTTACAACACACAGCTCTCTCCTTCCAGAAATAATCCATAGACTTCACACAACACCAACCAAAACAGATGTTTTCCTCCAATTCTGTCATTGACAATGCTGATCCAGCTCCTCAGCTTCCCTCTGTGGCCCATTCACTGTGAACATTATTCAACTTTTGCAAGTGGGAAGGGGAAAATGATTAGAAGTACAATTTTTCATAAAATTAGGATCTATCACTGCACCACCTGATCCATGACACCCAAACTACATATATGCAGCAGGCTGAGTGAATAGGTGGCTGCCATATACAGTCAACTCCCTCTAAGTTGATATCCCTGTAAGTGCATAATTCTCTATGTGCATAGGATTTTTTGCCGCCAAAAAAGGGTTTTCCAGCCAAAATGAGGTCTATAAGTGCATATTTCTTTAAGTGCATGCAAAAACCACCCGCCAAACTGTATGTAATTAGTGGGAGTTGACTGTACATACAGGTTTGCTCAGTTATGTGCTCATCTGGATGTGTGAACTATATGTAATAAATGCTGTAACTTTCTTTCAGCTTGAAAAAATATTCCAAAAATTGACTACATGCACTAACACCGCGGGAATCAATAAGTTTAAAACCCAATTGAGCAAAATTGCGGTGTCCGAGTCCGCAATTCTGCTCAATCGCGGATCTAGTTCACAACTTGTTCACATTATGTTCACAAGCTTCCCTTCAGCTGTAAATGGCTTGGGTCAACTGGTCACCCTTCAACCTTCTAAGTTCTCAAACCTGAGTCTACTATGTTTACAGATTCCTCAGTCATCAAATCTGGATTTGCTAAAGTAAACACTCTTGAGGCTACGTCTTTGCTCTGAAAGGGGCCTTTGTACATGTAGGCCGCGTGTATATGTGTACATAGGCTTAGCTGGGGAACTCGAGGAAAGCTTGGAACTAAGCAAACGAGTTGTAACA